TGTTCATTGGAAGGACTGATGTTGAAGCTGAAACTCCAATACTTTGGCCACCTGATGCGAAGAGCTAACTCATTTGAAAACACCCTGATGTTGGGAAAGATTGAGGGCAGGAGGAGAAGGGGGACGACAGATGATGAGATGGTTGGGTGGCATCACTGACACAATGGACATGGGTTTGGGTGGACTCCAGGAGTTGGTGATGGGCATGGAGGCCTGGCGTGCTGCAGTTCATGGGGTCACAAAGAGTCTGACACAACTGAGTGACTGAACAGAACTGAATGCAGCATATAGGTTAAATATGTTAATCTCATCATATTTTTATAAAGGCTATTACAGTATTCTCTTTGCTCTAAATCATCACTCTTCCCTTTCTTCTGGACAATCTTTCTAAAGCTAATCTCTCCACCAATATTTAGGGTCCCAGTCTTTCTCCTTCCTTTTCAGATAAGTCCTGATTCCTCCATTTCCATCTTCAGTCATCAGTTTTCCCTCTTTCTCCAAGATTTCTGTCTCTATTTGCGTTCATGATCAGCCACCACCCCACCAGACCTAACACCTTTTTGTTTTTGCACACAAAGGTTTTAATCATTTTAAGTTGCACATCACTGTAGGACATTTGCTCCTTGACTTGTTACTAGGCATTTACACCGTGTCCTAACATCTTTATTTTTTTCAATTCTGGAAATAATGCTTATGAAAGCTCTTACATAGTTAATAGTTCTCAATCTACATGGTAAAATTTCTACTTCAGCCCTCAAATCTGACCTAAACTACTTAGATAATTTTTTCTTCCCCTATATTTGCTCAAGCAACTGGTATGTTTATTTTTTATTTCACACAAATCCTCCCTCTATCCTTTGCTTGGCCCATTTCTCCTGCAAGTAGTGACTTTTGCCCTGCTTCCCCTCGACTGAAAGGTCCTGGTTAAGTCAGCTAGTCTCCTTAAATTTCTCATGCCCCTGACCTTGGTGAGCCACACACTCCTATGAAATAGCTATAGTAACATTCACGTTCCAAGGGTAATTTTTTCTGTTAAAGTAAATTCTTGGCTATATACTTACCAGTTGTGAGCCAGATGTCTTCTTATTAAGCAGGTCTTAATAAGGTAAGGTTTACCTTAAAAAGGTAAACCTATCTGTGGAAAATCAAAGTTTATCCTGGTTTTATTATTATTTATTTTTCCTTCCATTAAGTTAACTTTGAATGTAGCAGTGAAAGTCTTAGTAGCAACTCTTCCTTTTTTCCACTTAAATTGTTAAACTTCCTTCTTTTTTCCTAAAGGAAGAAGATCCTAAAAATGCAATGAGCAAAGAGCGACAGACATCTTCAATAAAATCAAAACTGTTGAGGCTGCAAAAAGATATTGAAAAAGCCTCGCGAGACCAAGAAGGTATGTAACTATCTCTTTGATCGGCCTAATGAGAGAAAGTATTCTATCCTGAGGTTTCATTCAGAGTTGGGGTGCTTCTGCTTTTGCTGACTGGTGCAGGGATCATCTCCTTTAAAGGACCAAATGTCAGACCTAATTTGTGTGAATAAAGAAAAATTTTTTCTCAAAGGAGAGAGCAAAAAAATTAAACATGACATTTTGGTCCATCTGTGAGCTTTTTATAAGTACTATATCACAGTTTCTAGAATTGTAACATTTTACTCTGTTCCTGAAATTGGCTGATACAAAGGACAATTAGTTTGGATTAAAACATAGTAAACCTACTAGGTGGTTTACTTCCCAGGTGGCGCTAGTTGTAAAGAATCTGCCTGCCAGTGTAGGAGATCCAGGTTCAATGCCAGGGTTGGGAAGATCTCCTGGAGAAGGAAATGACAACCCAGGCCAGTATTCTTGCCTGGGAAAGCCCAAGGACAGAGGAGGCTAGTGGGCTATAGTCCTTGGGGTCACAAAGAGTCAGACAGGACTTAGCAACTAAACAACAAAAACCTCCTATGTACAAGGCTTCCATTTATTTATTTTCCCCATATTAGTTTATATTATTCCATTGGAGGGGTGTTAATAGGTGATTTAAGATTTTTTAAATTAATTTATTTTGTACCAAAGTATTATTGATATACAGCACTAGATTAGTTCTAGGTTCACAGCTTAATGATTCAACACTTCTATGCTTTACAGATTGATCACCACTTGTTTTTTTTTAAACCAACTTCCTGAGCGATGTGAAAATCATTCAAATTAAATCCTGTGCTTAGAGGTTAGGTATGTTAGAACATGAAGAAGCTCTAAAGTGCTACAGATAATGAAAACAATTCCATACTTGGGATCCTTCTTTGAATGTAGCAGTGAAAGTCTTAGTAGCAACTCTTCCTTTTTTCCACTTAAATTGTTAAACTTCCTTCTTTCTTCCTAAAGGAAGAAGATCCTAAAAATGCAATGAGCAAAGAGCGACAGACATCTTCAATAAAATCAAAACTGTTGAGGCTGCAAAAAGATATTGAAAAAGCCTCGCGAGACCAAGAAGGTATGTAACTATCTCTTTGATCGGCCTAATGAGAGAAAGTATTCTATCCTGAGGTTTCATTCAGAGTTGGGGTGCTTCTGCTTTTGCTGACTGGTGCAGGGATCATCTCCTTTAAAGGACCAAATGTCAGACCTAATTTGTGTGAATAAAGAAAAATTTTTTCTCAAAGGAGAGAGCAAAAAAATTAAACATGACATTTTGGTCCATCTGTGAGCTTTTTATAAGTACTATATCACAGTTTCTAGAATTGTAACATTTTACTCTGTTCCTGAAATTGGCTGATACAAAGGACAATTAGTTTGGATTAAAACATAGTAAACCTACTAGGTGGTTTACTTCCCAGGTGGCGCTAGTTGTAAAGAATCTGCCTGCCAGTGTAGGAGATCCAGGTTCAATGCCAGGGTTGGGAAGATCTCCTGGAGAAGGAAATGACAACCCAGGCCAGTATTCTTGCCTGGGAAAGCCCAAGGACAGAGGAGGCTAGTGGGCTATAGTCCTTGGGGTCACAAAGAGTCAGACAGGACTTAGCAACTAAACAACAAAAACCTCCTATGTACAAGGCTTCCATTTATTTATTTTCCCCATATTAGTTTATATTATTCCATTGGAGGGGTGTTAATAGGTGATTTAAGATTTTTTAAATTAATTTATTTTGTACCAAAGTATTATTGATATACAGCACTAGATTAGTTCTAGGTTCACAGCTTAATGATTCAACACTTCTATGCTTTACAGATTGATCACCACTTGTTTTTTTTTAAACCAACTTCCTGAGCGATGTGAAAATCATTCAAATTAAATCCTGTGCTTAGAGGTTAGGTATGTTAGAACATGAAGAAGCTCTAAAGTGCTACAGATAATGAAAACAATTCCATACTTGGGATCCTGATATGTGGAGCTAGTTTTTTGTGGACCAGAGAACACTATTGCAATATAATACTTGATAGGAAATCCAAGAGAGCAAAATGTTTAGAAATGTAAATACCAGCAGAGGAGAGCTTAAGATGATGGTAAATGTTAGGGAACTGCCACTGAATGGATCTACAGGAAGGACTCAAAAGCTCATCTTGAGTTTTTCATCTTGAACAGCAATCAAAACTCCTTAAGCACCAGCATTTCTCTAATCTCATTAAATGAAGGTACAGGTCACCCATTCAGTAAAATTTAGCAACAACTACATACACAAAGGGCTCCAGCCATTTGGGAATGCTCCAGGAATCAGTTCTGGGTTCTGGCTCCCTCTGAGCGTAACCATCTTTAACCTGTCCCTCCAGGACTGAGCAATGGTGACTGGCAGTATGATTTCACTTGCAGGCTTGGAACGAATGCTGAGAGCCTACTCCAGCCACTCTTCCTTCTCAGACTCAGAGAGCGAAAAAAGCACAGCAGCCTTAATGGACGAGGTAAATATTTGCGGAGCACAGCTTCCTAGATTTAATGATGAAGGAGCTATTTGGGGAACGCCTGTGCTCTGGCCCGTTTGACCGCTGTTTGCCTTCCCTTTCTCATGACACAGAACAGTCTAGTCAGACAGCTTGTAGGTCAGCTCCTTGACAAGTGGTTTGAGGAATCTGGAAAAACCCAGCTACTTAGAGTTGTTTGCTTTAGTGTCCTCCCAGGGCAAAAAAAAAAAAAGGAAGCCTAAAATAAAATCCCTCCCTCGCCCCCACCATAGAATCACTCAGTCAAGGTCTGAAAATCATGTGTACTCTACCTCAGTTAACAGATGTGACTAAAAAACAAAGGCAGGGTCTGCTTTCAGAGAGGCCTGCATCCGGATCTAGCTCCGCCAGTTACAGGGACCTGGGACAGGTTTAGTTTTCTCATCTTGGAAGTGGGGATGTTGGTACTTACCTCAAAGGGGTTTTGTGAGGTTGAAAAGTATTTAGAAAATGCTAGCATAGTGCACAGAGGAGAGCTGAAATCCTGGCAGTTATTATAGAGATGCTGTTTCCCATTTATCCCCGAGCCAACATCAGGGTCCTCTGAGAATAATGGGGGAAAGAAGAGATGTGGATGTACAGAGGGAAGATGGCTGTTTAGGGTGTGAGAGCTTCCAGGGAAACAAGGAAAAAAACTTCCGAGGCCAAGGTCATTTTGAGGGGAGGGGAGGTAGTCAGTGGAGGTAGGGAGAGGCACTTTCGGGCCATTTTGCCGAAAGCCTAGACTGCAGCAGCACCCCGACGTTTGTTGCGATTGATGGGTGGTGCGACCTCTTCAAAGGAACCCACGTTATAAGGAAGTTAGCAAAGGCCCATGAATTTTATACAGGAATAAAAACAAACAAATACTGTGACCTATGTGTGGCAAGGTACACAATTTCTGTTATGATTGGAGAGAAAGCTGATTGGGGTTAGAGAAGAATTCAGGAAGAGATTAAATCTTTAGCAATGTTTTGAAGGATCCAGGAAGCTGGGCCAGTTTTCCTTTCCTTGCACATAGCCTAACTCTCTTGTAAAAAGTACATACCTAATAAATTCTGTCCGAAGATCAATTTCAATAGTCCTTTGGTAAAAATAGGCAGATGCAGCCAGGTACTGTTTATCTGTTTTTTAGCAGCAGCTTCCTTTAGTGGAGGTGCTGTTTCAGAAATAAACCTGACACTTTTTGTGAAAAGACAGACCTGAATTCTGTTCACTTGGAAACAGAGGTCTAATATCCTTGCAGTGACATATGGCTACAATTTTTATAAAATTATAAAACAGACTGAAAGACATTTTCTGTGACAACATAAAATGTTTGGCTAACTAATTCAGTGTAAATGATATTTACCGAAAGGAAATCATATGAAGTATTTTATGATGGCATTAATTTATAAGTTTATTTCTTTGGGTTCTTGCATAGCATTTTGTCATTGATACAGAATTTGTATTAGGATCTTCCAGGTACACAACTGGCCTGATTCACACAGTAGAAGATGCAAGATGGGAGATGATCTAACCCCTGAATTTATGGTGTTTAGGATCTAGCGATGAAGCAAAAAGGGTCTTCAAGTAGTGGATGCCAAATATCTGTGTCAGAGATTACACATCCCCACAACTGGTGGAGGGAAACTATTAACAGTAATGGTGGTAGATTGATTTTGCCTTAGGCAGGGAAGGTTTCTTGCAGGGGAATCTCTATTTCCTATTTCACTGGCTCTTGGTCCAGTGCCATGTTTGGGACAAGAATATTGGCAAGCCATATTCTCTGAGAAATTGTTGCAGAAACTGGAAGTGTTTGGGGGCAGATATTATCTTTGGATACCAGAAGGAACACCACAGAACAGAGAGACTTGCTCTTGATGTTCTCAAGTGCAGACTGGATCTAAGGCTAGAAGCTATGGAGGAGCTTTTGATTGCATCTTAGGTGAGCCTACCCCCTGTGCAGTGAATTGTTCCAAGGACTAGAGCCCTTCCCCATCGATTGGAGGTGTTTGGTCCATGGCTGTGATTCCCTGAGAGGGATGTTAGGATTATGAATCCCAGGCTGCAGACTTCCCTGGCAGTCCAGTGGTTAAGACACCTCACTTCCACTGCAGCTGGCACGGGTTTGATCCCTGGTCAGGGAATCAAGATCTGCATTCCGAGTGGCACAGCCAAAAAGTAGGGGGAAAAAAAAAAAAGGAATCCCCAGGCTGGAGATGCAGAGAAGGGAGAGGTAATGGTGAGGAGAATGTTGGATAAGCAGACTCTGTCCAGTATTTAGATTCTGTGATTTGATTTACCTTGGCTGAACACAACTTGACAGAGAAGTCAATATAAAGTTTCTAGTTCAAGGTCAAATTGAAAACAGGAGAGACCAAGAGAATAGCTTTAGTTTCACTCTTTATTTTTATATTCAAATAGCCCAGAATATTGTTTCTAGTTTTCAGAAGTGTTACTGCAAACTTTCCAGATAATATAAGACCTCACCTCTTCAAGAAATAATAACACCACCAACAAAAACCCTGCCACAAATCATTTTAGTTTGATTCTGTTGACAGGAGTCAATTCTGTTCTTTATGTTACATGCCCATGGCTCCTTTGCCTTTCTTCAAAGCCCTCTGAAAGCCTGGCTTCTGCAATCAGCATTTACTATTCTCTTTTCCCCATTCCTCAGCAGAAAGTCAAGTAAAGCTCTTCTTTGTCACAAAATGCTGAGCAATATATCTATCAAGCTTTCTGGTTTACCTTATTTACAAGGGTCCAGAATAAGATGCACTCAACAACTAAGGCTTTCTTAGGCTTCTTAAAGTGTCCATTGTTTTTCTCTCTTCAGCATTTTCTGCAAATGAATTGCACATGAGTTGAATGTGTACTTTTCTGAACCTCTTTGTCATTTTGGAAGTTATCCTGATGTCCCTTTATCCACCCACAATGAGTTGTGCCTCCTTCTCTAGAAATTTACTCAGATGGTCAAATGCTGTTTCCACAGAATAGCTTGAAACTAGACCTTCTGCAAGCAAACTGCTATAAACTGTCATCTGTGTTAGCAGAACTTGAGCAAAGACCTCAACCCAGCCATCCCTGTAGTAACTCCATCTTCAAGTGGAAAGAAAAGGTAAACATTTAAGAGGCTGGTTATAATTTCTTGACTGGCCTTGTTGGGTAGAATGACTCAAAGCAGCATCAGGGCAAAAAAGCTGTTAGGAATTATATATGCCATGTGCTCAAATCTCCAATTGCACAATTTTAAGATAAACTTATTTAATTATTTTTTGAGCACCGTAACAAGAGCTAAACACAAATGAAGACATTCTTTGTATTCATATGTAAAATAATGAGTTAAAAATACTTTGGGTTCCTTCTTCTCATTTTCTAACTTTATCCTTTGAACATGCTCTTATAGTAAAATTTCTATTACAGACCTAAATTGTAAGATTTTGTGATAAGCAGTAGTCTCATCCATTTAACATAGTACATGATGTTGATAATGTGTGAGCAAATTAAAAAGTTCACACACATGTATTAACGCTTTCCCAGTGTTTCACTCTAGGAATTGATGAGCATGTGAGTATACACAGTTATACTCATTTCCATTTGCTACCAGAAGAGGGAGCTCTAACTATCTTGNTTCCATTTGCTACCAGAAGAGGGAGCTCTAACTACCTTGTGGTGAAGGGACAATTATCTTCCTGAGACTTGAGCTCTAAAAGGGTCTCAGTTATTTACACAGTCATGATTATTTCACTTGCATCAAAACCAATTAAAGTTGAATTTATAGAAGGAATGCTGTAAATATTATTTGGCTTAAGGCTACAGGTCAGAATTGCAAACACAGGCTATAAGATATAGTAACGTCTAATTCTGAAAATATTAAGGTTTCCCAATAATTAAAAAACAGATTCCTGAGGAAAACAGTTGCAGAGAGTTACTTTTCTCAAATACTTTTGTTGATAGCGCTGTTAAAAATATCTTTTCCCCCCCTATCCAAACAGCAGCAGACACACAGTTCTGTAAAAATATCTCGGCCTGTTCTGACGAAGAGACTAGAGAATATTGTGAACAGAGCATCTTCTGATGGGCAGAGAATTCCAAGTCCTTCGTCCACAGGTAATCTCATGCCCAGAATAATTCGAGGCTGGGTCCTATCTGTAAAGCACATTGCCAAAATTATATTTTCTCTTCAGAACCACATTGATATAAATTGGCTCAAGAAAATTAACATTTCAATCAGGACATTAATTTATTAGAATGTGTAGCTTTCTGTGCAAATGTCATCCAAAATGTGGGAAGGACTTAAGAAGAATGCAGGTGGGGGTGGGAGTAGAACTCTCTAATGTTTCAGGGAAGGTACCCCCAGTCCCCAGCATCCATGTTATTCAGACAGCCTGCAATTTGTTGTCCACACGCTTACCCTGGAAACACTGTGAGGAGCAGCCCTGTTTCCACAGCCCTGTCCTCTGTGTGAGAAACATCGTGATCCCAAAGCCTACCAGCTTTGTTCAGTCACTTGACTTTGGTCATTTGTCCATCTATCCCCACTGCCTTTTACCTTTCAAACCCCCCACCCCTCCCCCCAACACACATCCACAAAAGCACATTTCATTATCCTTTATTTTTCAACTATAGTATGACCATAACCTTGACTCTCTAGGTTCTTGACTAGAACTTGGCAAAAAAAGAGTTTCAGTCAAACCCAGGCCGTCGCAGCCCACCTGTATATTAAAGACCCACAGTGGCACAGTCTGCGAAGCAGCTCCCCAAGTACCTGGGCATGATGGTAGGGAGCTCCTGCTCCAACATATTCCTGATGGGAAAAACAGGCATGGGTTTTCCAAGACACAAACACAACATCGGTCAACACAGATTGACCTATGTGAAATTCACATGGAAAACAATTTAAAACCGTCATTGTTATTATTACTACTACAATAACTTTTGTCTCTAGACTTATTTTCTATATTATAGCTTTTGAGTATATAGTATACACAGTTCATTCACATAGTACCTACATCAGAAATGGTTACTGAATCAAAGAATGAGTGTTATGTACAATGATAAACTTTCCTTCGGGGAAGATTTCAATATATTCAAGCTCTGCACTATGTGGTGAAAACTAGACCACTTCCCCACTGTGTTCATCTTGCCTACTGACCCAGCATTAGTCACTATAACTTGATCTAACTTTCAGCCTCCGGTGTGACCCAGCTTGGCAATGGTCTTTGCAAGGCTTTATATTCTTTTCAAGCCAGGCAAGATGATGAATTGGACTTGGAAAAAGGTAAGAATCATTCTCAAATAGTTGACTTGCCTTCTCATGTGAAATCTTTAACTTGACTATAACCTTTGTCTTAGCTTTTAAAGTTAGTACCATGTTAAATCAGTGCAGGTTTATAATAATCACCCTTCTTAGAAGATAGAAAGATAAGCATACCAGAAAGAAAGCTCACATAATAAAAACAGCTGACGTCTATGCAGTATTTACCAGGTGCCAGACCTTGCTGCAAACACATTGTCCAACTTAATATTCATAAAAACCTTTTGAGGTAGGTATTATTTTTTAATGCCTGTTTTATGACTGGAGACTGAGACACAGAAATGTGAAGCACTTCGGGTAAAGTCACTAGCAGTCGAGGCTCAGGCTTTGAACTTGGAAACCCAGTCATGTTGTTAATCCCAGGGCTAAGCTGGGGTAGAATATCAGTAATGGACAGTTATCAGAGAGGCAGCCCCACCTTTTTCCTTTTGAGAAGCTACACTTACTGGAGTGTGATGTCACTTCCTCTCACGGCTTAATCTAAATGCCCGTTCTAGAACCTGGGTCAGAAGACACCCAGCTTAGCATTTCTCCTACCTCTCTCTCAAAAAGGGGTTTTACGACTAATCAAAGGAATCAGATCCCCTTCTCCATGTCACAGATTTTCGTTTAACATCGGAAGGTATTATGTAAAGACAACCTCAGATATGCAGACGATAACACTCTAATGGCAGAAATCAAAGAGGAACTAAAGAGCCTCTTGATGAGGGTGAAGGAAGAGAGTGAAAAGGCCAGCTTAAAACTCAATATTAAAAAAACTAAGATCATGGCATTCAGTCCCATCACTTTATGGCAAATAGAAGGGGGAAAGGTGGAAGCAGCGACAGATTTTCTCTTCTTGAGCTCTAAAATCACTGCGAATGGTGACTGCAGCCATGAAATTAGAAGACAATTGCTTCTTGACAGGAAAGCTAGACAGTGAGTTAAAAAGCAAAGACATCACTTTTCCAACAGTGTTCCATATAGTCAAGGCTATGGTCTTCCCAGTAATGATGTGTGGATATGAGAGCTGGACAATAAAGAAGGCAGAGCACCAAAGAATTGATGCTTTCAAATTGTGGTGCTGGAGAAGACTCTTGAGAGTCGCTTGGAGAGCAAGGAGATCAAACCAGTCAATCTTAAAGGAAATCAACACTGAATACTCTTTGGAAGGACTGATGCTAAAGCTGACGCTTCAATACTTTGACCACCTGATGCGAACAGCTGACTCTTTGGAAAAGACCCTGATGCTGGGAAAGATTGAAGGCAGAAGGATAAGAGGGCGACAGAGGTTGAGATGGTTGGATGGCATCACTGATTCATTGGACATGAACTTGGGCAAACTCCGGGAGATAGTGAGGGTCAGAGAAGGCTGGCACGCTGCAGTCCACGGGGTCACGAAGAGTCAGATACAACTTGGTGACTGAACAGCAACAACAAGGGGTTGTGAAAACCTCGAAATTATTAAATGAGAAAAGGTCACCACCTCAACTTTGTTTGTACGTCCAGTTAGCAACCACATTCGAATGTCAAGCTAAGGCAGAGATCTGGAGAGGAAAATGTTAGTGAGAAAGAATTGTGTCATAGGAGAAAACTTATATTCCATGACCAGGACACAGCACCTAGAATCAACAGAAAGTCAAAATGGATTTAACAGTTAAACAACAGGGATACCACCACATATTTGCTATTTGTTCATGGGTGAGTCCTTTGCAGTTTGCCAGTCAGACTTCTCCACACAGTTACTTTTCCTTGTAGCTCAGAAATAAGTAAAGACAAGAAAAAAGGAAATAGAAAGTGGACCCCACTCCTGCTTTCATCTGAAACCAATGTTGCCTTTAATTTAAAAGTTTTAAGTGTTCTCTAGAAGTCACTTCGTTATTCATCACGCCATCCAAAGACTACTTATGTCAGTAAGTGAGTAAATGAAATGCAGTATTCCCACTTTCCATATGAGTTAAAACACATGTCCCAGATGCCACCTAGAGCCCAGGGTCCTGAGTTTGAGTTACATAGTTAACACATTAAATTGATCATCTTGTTTATCTTCAGTTCTCTGTTGGTTGCAAAGCCTACTTATACATTATATCCCAAGAGGGTTCTTTAAATGGAATGACATGTTGGAGTCTTAGGAAAGCTGAAGATAAAATTTTAAATTATTTATTTGTTTTGTTTTGTTTTTACATTTTTACTTTGTGACCATACCTTGAGGCACGTAGGATCTTAGTTCCCCAACAAGAGATCAAACCCACGTCTCTTATATTGGAACTGTGGAGTCTTAAAAGCTGGATGGCCAGGGTAGTCCATAAATTACGTGTTTGAATTCCAGTAGTGGATTGTGTCAATCTATTGACCTGAGAGAACACATTAGGTGGAGTTTCTAGACTGAGAATGATCTCTTGCAAGAAAGAATAGTGATGTGACTAAGGAAAGATAGAAGGGAGGTTGACAGTCTCCTTTGCCTTGGAAAGAAAATTACTGGGGAGAAAAGTGAAAGAATAAAAGACTGAAAATGACTTTATGATGATGCTAAAGATCAAGTAGCTCTTGGATCCTGAAGGAAGGGGATGTTTCCACTTTAATGTATAGGAAGTAGCCAGAGAGAAAGGACTCTCTCACCAAGACGGGGACTAGTGTTTTTAATCTTGTTTTTTTAATAGAGAACTAGAGAAGAGCCATGTGTTTTCTAGGAAGTCTATTTACTTCAATTATTGCTTTAAAGGAGTATTGTCTTTAAATTGATATTTTATTCAAATTATCTAAATTGTTGAACATTGGGTTATATTATTGTGCAAAGCTGTAGGTTGGAACTTCGGACTATGCAGCTGGCACATAGAGTGGAGAGAAGCTGCTTTGATCTAAAGAAAATTCTAGTAGCCAAGACATACTCTTAATAGTCAGCATACCAAACTATTGTGCCCACCAACATGAGGAACCCGTAAAGCACAGACAGCAAGGAAGAGTTTGGTGACAACCCATCAGTTCTATCCAAAGTGAACCAGGCAGCACAAGGACATAGGATCCAAAGTGATTTTGTTTCTAATCAAGCTACTTTAGGGCACAACTCAGTTGTCCATTACATAACTCTTTTTAATATTCTCTGCATTATGCCTGCTTCATGCAGAAGTGGTCAATAAGTTTTGCTTCGTCTGAATCACCTGCAGAAAAGTGATGCTACCAAGTAACTCCTTGAAAGCAGAATCTCCTTAAAAACTATCTTAATTGATCAAACTCGGGAAGGCATTAATCGCAGGAACTCACTTGTCTAACTAAATGTATGTGTGTTTTCACAGGCGACATCGTGACGATACACAAAAAGAAAGATGAAGGATGGTGGTTTGGCTCTTTAAAGGGAAAAAAAGGTCATTTTCCTGCCGCTTATGTGGAGGAGCTTCCTTTAAATGCCGGGGACACAGCTTCACAAGCATGAGCGAAATTCTGAAGGCATCATCTTACACATTGTTAATTATACAATGTGATGCAAATAAAGGGAAATGCTGTTGTCTTCACAAGTTTATCTTCCTAACTGGGTTCCATGATGCAGGCATGATGCAGATGTGCCCATGATGCAGGTACATCATGGCATTTTGCACTCTTAGTTCTTTGGAATAGTGAGAAGATGGAGGGTAAATAGGAGGTGAAAAAGATGTACCATGGTTCCTAGAGTTTTCTAAAAGACTCTAGAAATAATCCAAAACAGCCCCTCTCACAGGGAGAAAAGTGCAAAGCAGTTTAACCTGAAGTCAGATAGTTTTCTGGTGGTGCAACAGAGATTAGGATGCAGATGTCCTTTCCGTCAAGTCTTGGGTGGCAGTAGCCGCAGTAGGCCCACAAAGGGTCAAGCAGGGCCATGGAGATGGAGAAGAATACATATGGAGTCCAAGAAGACCTCAGCAGAGACAGGCAGGTAAAGCACCAGTGAGACAGACCCAAGTTAAGGACAGTAGAATAAAGGCTCATGAGCCAAGGTGGATAGTCAGCGTGGTTGGAAGAGAGGCTGGTAGACAAGAGGGCTCTATGCCAGGCAGAGGACCTCGGGGTAGAAAAGGGTTCCGTCCTGAGCCAGTGACCTTCTGAGTTAGTGGCTTCTTATATATCCCTACCCACAATCAGAATTACTCTTAGCATGAGGTCAAGTGTGAGTCAGAGATGGCTGGAGATCTGAGAATAAGAGCAAGGCTGATAGAAAAGGGTTAGGAAGGAGGCAGTGACTGAAATTTCATGCCTCCCTGCCCAGTTGGAAACTTCATACACCAATTCAGAAACTAGGAATTGTATACTTTCCTTCCAGGTTGTGATGCAAGGAATATCCTAAGCAACTTCTTAGTGACAGACACTTAAATGCTAATGAGTCTCTAGTTTGAATGATAAGTTCTAAAAACCAGAATTTACTGTCAAAATGGAAAATTTAGAGAGATTTCTGCCACTTCCTCAAATGCCCTACAATGGGAAAAGGTGGAGAATGAGAGAGAGCAGGCCCCCAAACTTTCCCCAAGGGGAACATTTTAGAATAGAGAGGCGTGATACAGCAGCATCTCAGAAACTGGCCTACGTCAGCTTGGAGATCACACACTCCATTGAACAGAAGGTCAAGATATTGCCAAGAACATCTAAGCAGATTTACTTTTGTGCCAAACAGTCTGGCATTAAAAGAGTGATTAAAATCCATTCTATTACTCTCCTTCCCCCTACTTCTTTTTTTAACTTGTCACATTTTATACTGTGAAAAAGGAAATTTTCAAATATATTTTATTTTAAATAAGGTACATATATTTTTTATACTCTGCACCATTACACTCCTATAGCAGGATATAACTAACAAAGATATTTATAGATACAGATATCAGACCGGAAGGAGCTCAAGTAAAACCTGTTATGTGAGACACAACTTACAGCCCAGAAGAACAGATCAGAAGTTTTAAAGTCATCCTTAATGGCGTATTAATGAAGGCATTCCACATGTAGAAAGTTGGCTGAATAATAGGCCATTAAGACCATGAACAGAGATTTTGAATTTATATTTCCTTTTCATCTGACTTCTTTCCATTAGCCTTGATGGATAAAAGAAATTGCATAGCCATTGACTGCAGCCTACATGTGATCATTTGTATAAAGTGATGATAATGATGATTGGACCCTGAAACTCTTTGGAAGTAATTTTCAAAGGGGCCCCTCTTTCTTCCTAAAGCAGTTTTACTTTGTAAAGACATAAATGGTTTTCCTGGTTTAAAATGTTGCTACAAATTCTTTTTTTGCATCTGTGATATGTAATTTTTTTAAACTTCAAAGAAACACTATAGTATTAAGCTAGATAAAAATACACATATTTTTGGGTGTAATAGACTTGGATATCATCTTAGAAGGGCAAGAATTTTCTGACAGGAAAGGTGGGGATGGTACTACTTAGATTTAAGTAAAAATTAAGTGCATATTGGGAACATTAATGATGTTCCCAAGTCTTCCACAGAGAATAAAATAATTGTTTTAATATTAAGACTTTTAAACTCTTAATTGGGCTTTCATAATTATACTCCACTAGGCAGTTTTCTTATGTCAGGAATTTTCTAGCAACATTAGCAACCTGAAATATCAGCAGTAGAGGTCTGAGTCAGATTTTCTCTAAAAACATCGAAGACATTACTCTATTTTATCTTCTTTCTGGTACAGTAAATTCTGACTATCCATTATCCTGTCATGTCAACCAGAAAGATTAATTTCACTTTTCTGCATTTCAATTACTCATAATAATTAATATTCACAATGAGTTTTATCATCCATTCTGATACATCAGAAAGTAAAATAATATTCAGTTTGGGTTAAAGTAAATTTTATTGTACAGTATTATAAGGTTTTAACTGATTAGTAATTTGAGCATAATATAACTTTGTTCCAGCTTCCAAGAAAAAGTCCCTCCTCCCCCAGAGTCTTTATGGACTCAGGGGCAATCAGCCAAATTTGGAAAGAGAATCAAATAGCGACACATCCCATTGTCTGTGGCAACATTAGTAGGAAGAATGTCTAACCCAGGAAAGATGGGCTTGAGGGCAGGGGATCAAGAGAAGGGATTTTGAAGGGTAAAGAGGAATTACTATTCACTGATCTGTGGCTTCAATACTATAAAGACAGTAAATCCTTTTCCTCAAAGAGCCTTCAATCTGTCTTCTGAAAGGGAAACAGACCAGTAAGCAAACACAATACACTGTGATAAATGTTGTGTGTGTGTGTATGTGTCAGTCACTCATTCATATCCAACTCTTTGTGACCTCATGGATATACAGTCCATGGAATTCTCCAGGCCAGAATACTGGAATGGGTAGCCTTTCCCTTCTCCAAGGGATCTTCCCAACCCAGGGATCAAACCCAAGTCTCCCACATTGCAGGCAGATTCTTTTCCAGCTGAGCCACAAGGGAAGCCGGAGCTGAACGCTATGGGCAGATAAAATGGTGCTGCAGATAAAATGAAACCTCTGGAAAGTACACATTTATAAAAGTGATTCCAGGGTTTCCTCAGTGGCTCAGCAGTAAAGAATCTGCCTGCCAATGCAGGAGACACAGGTTTGATCCTTGATTTGGGGAGATCCCACATGCCATGGGGCAACTAAGCCCATGGGCCACAACTATTGAGCCTGTGCTCTGGAGCCTGGGAACCACACTACTGAGCCCACACGCCTCGACTACTGAAGCCTGAGACTCTAGAATCTGTGCTCCATAGCAAGAGAAGCCACCACAATGGGAAGCCCACACATCACAACTAGAGTAGCCCCTGCTCACCGTGAGTAGGGGAAGGCCCCCGCAGCAAAGAAGACTCAGCACAGCCAAAAATAAATAAAATTATTATTTAAAAAAATTGATTACATACGAGGCCACAAAGTAATGCTCTAGAAGTTGTGTGATGACAATGTAAGAAATCATTTAGAAAAGAATAAGTGAAAAAACCCTATGTGTTCAACACATGTTATATGTCCCTGCACACATACAAACACACATGTGCAGACACACACACTTCTAAATAACACATGGTCAAAGAATAGATCTTAATGGAAAATTTTAACTGTTAGAAATAAAAAATAAGAAAGTTACTATGTGCTAAAACCTATAGTTTCAGGAAAGCAACTTAAAAAAGGTACCACTGGAGAAAGGATAAAATTAATGAATTAAGCATCCTAATTATGAGTTTATAAAAACATCAGAAACAACCTAAAGCAAATAAAAGAAAGATCAGAAATTAATGACATATAAAACAAAAGGTTGAATAAAGCTATTCATTGGTTCTTTGAAAGGGTTAATCAACTGAGCAAACCTGGCAAAATTAAGAAAGTCATGAAAGTGAAAGTGTTAGTTGCTCAGTCAGGTCTGACTCTTTGCAACCCCTTGAACTGCAGCTTGCCAGGTTCCTGTATACCATGGAATTCTCCAGGCAAGAACTCTGGAGTGGGTGGCTGTTCCCTTCTCCAGGGGATCTTCCTGACTACCAGGGATCGAACTCAGGTCTCCTGCAGTGCAGGCAGATTTTTTACCATCTGACCCACCAGGGAAGCACAAGAAAGGCATAAATAAAGCAGCATTATTTCTAAGAAAAAAGGAGACACACTACAGAAGCAGTAGCTATCAAAAACCAAAATTATATATTATTAACCAACTTCACACCAATTCGCAAAAAAAGTCAGCAGGAGACAAATTTCTCAAAAAAGTATGCCTTATCAAAACTCAGGAAGAAACAGAATGATTAAGTAATTCAATAACTATTAAAAAACTAACAAGCATTTTTCTAAAAGCATCTTCCTACAAAGAAAACACAGGCTCAGAGAGTTTTATATGTGTGTTCAAAAGCCATAAGCCCTTATTGAAACTTTTTCAGGAAACAGAAAAGAAAGGAACATATCTCAACTATTTTCAAGGGTCTAGGACCTAGGATAACCAGATGATGTTAATACACAAAGGAAAAATAAGCCAATCTAATTCATGGTTATAGAAGTAAAAATTTAAAGCAAATTTCACAAAACTGAATCTAGCATTATTAAAAACAAAACAAAACAGACTGCATGCCATGACTAAAATTTATTCTAGGAAGGCAAGTTTAATTCAACTTTTTTTTAAAGCCTATTAATATAAATCACCATACCAACAGCTACAAGATGAAAATCCACACAGATACAGAAAAACACAATAAAATGCAACAAACATTCATGATAATTACTTTTAATTAACTGAAAATAGAAAACTTCCTTGGCCTGCTCAACAAAAAAGAAAAGGCAAGTTTGGGAAATTACACATAGTGCAGTTTGGTTGGAGAGAAAATTTAATCTCAAAAAGATTAACTGATTTGTCCAAGATCATGCATCAATTTTAATAGTAGAGCAACAACTAGACCACATCTTAATTCTCAAATCTTTTCATGTTACCATGTTGATACTGGAAAGAAGAATTTTTCACACACACACACACACACACACACACACACACACACAAACAGAGCATTTATTCAAGATTTACCATTATATAGATCACATTTATTTGAATCTTAAATATTGCCTCTTTCTGAATTTTTGTAAAAATCTATGCAGCTGAGTAAAATAATTTATTCCTTGAAGTTTTTCCATTTGTTGCACCTTAGCCTAGCAGCTAACTCCAGCTTGCCTAATTGATAAGGAAAAAGAGTAACGTGTCTATAAACTCCAAACATTCTTCACATATCCCATCATACATTGTTCATACTTCATATAACACGTTTAACAGTACTATGAAAGGAGCTGATTCGAAAATAGCTTGCGTACTCTCTAGTTTACTTACTTACTTGACAAGACTCTCTACATAGATGAAACTCTTGTCTTTACTCAGAGTCTTGTTCTCGATTAGCTTGCCATTTTTTCAAGAACTACTTTACCTGTTAAAAATTGCTGGACATCTCAGCAACATGCCTGTAGGTATTACTGAACAAGTCAGCTCCTTTTCAAAGGTGTAATTTAAATTTCCCATTAAAAAAATAAATAGATAAAAAATAAATTTCCCATTAAATAATTTTCTGCTGAGTCTGGAAATGTGTTCAACATTGACAAATACTTATTAAGTTTCTACTATATGTTAGCTACTATGCTATTTTGCATGCTCAGTTGTGTCCAACTTTGTGCGATCCCATAGACTGTAGCCCACCAAGCTCCCCTGTCCATGAAATTTTCCAGGCAAGAATACCACAGTAGGTCACATTTCCTCCTCCAGGGGATCTTCCCAATCCAGGATAGAACCCATGTCTCCTTCTTCTGCGTTAGCAGGCAGATTCTTTACCACTGAGCCATCTGGAAGGATACTATGCTAGCTTTACAGCTAAACAGGCAATTCACTGTCATGGTACACAAATTAAAGTATAACTAATTGTCTCTGTATCAGAATCCTCTGAACTGGAAGAGAAGCAACATTTTCTAATCCTCATTAGCTGAGAAATCAAAACTTTAAACCCATTAGTAAGACATTTTAGCAGATTTTGTGCTGATTCTGTTCTTTTTAACTTAGTGATTGAGTTTAATTTTAGAGGTCTTGTTCCATTTTATTACAAAATGTGGAATAGGTTAATGTACCCCATTGAGATTCCATTTCAATCAGTTTTACTACTTATGCATATTTTTTTCCCATTTATGAAATTGAATTTTGTATCTTGTATCTTATGCTTTATTTCTGTATCAGGAAGGTTTTAAATGCTGAAAACTATTATTTGGTTTTTACAACATACCATCCTAAATAAAATGGATAGAGGAAGTTTAATGGACTAGCTTGGTTTCCCTTTCATATGTATTCTTAACCATTCAAAGCACAATTTTCATAATGTATCAAACTTTAAAATTTAATCTTGTCATTATTGTTCAGTTGCTCAGTTGTGTCCAACTTTGTGCGATCCCATAGACTGTAGCCCACCAAGCTCCCCTGTCCATGAAATTTTCCAGGCAAGAATACCACAGTGGGTTGCATTTCCTCCTCCAGGGTATCTTCCCAATCCAGGATAGAAACCATGTCTCCTTCTTCTGCGTTAGCAGGCAGATTCTTTACCACTGAGCCATCTGGAAGGATACTATGCTAGCTTTACAGCTAAACAGGCAATTCACTGTCATGGTACACAAATTAAAGTATAACTAATTGTCTCTGTATCAGAATCTGGAAATGTGTTCAACATTGACAAATACTTATTAAGTTTCTACTATATGTTAGCTACTATGCTATTTTGCATGCTCAGTTGTGTCCAACTTTGTGCGATCCCATAGACTGTAGCCCACCAAGCTCCCCTGTCCATGAAATTTTCCAGGCAAGAATACCACAGTAGGTCACATTTCCTCCTCCAGGGGATCTTCCCAATCCAGGATAGAACCCATGTCTCCTTCTTCTGCGTTAGCAGGCAGATTCTTTACCACTGAGCCACCTGGAAGGATACTATGCTAGCTTTACAGCTAAACAGGCAATTCACTGTCATGGTACACAAATTAAAGTATAACTAATTGTCTCTGTATCAGAATCCTCTGAACTGGAAGAGAAGCAACATTTTCTAATCCTCATTAGCTGAGAAATCAAAACTTTAAACCCATTAGTAAGACATTTTAGCAGATTTTGTGCTGATTCTGTTTTTTTAACTTAGTGATTGAGTTTAATTTTAGAGGTCTTGTTCCATTTTATTACAAAATGTGGAATAGGTTAATGTACCCCATTGAGATTCCATTTCAATCAGTTTTACTACTTATGCATATTTTTTCCCATTTATGAAATTGAATTTTGCATCTTGTATCTTATGCTTTATTTCTGTATCAGGAAGGTTTTAAATACTGAAAACTATTATTTGGTTTTTAGAACATACCATCCTAAATAAAATAGATAGAGGAAGTTTAATGGACTAGCTTGGTTTCCCTTTCATATGTATTCTTAACCATTCAAAGCACAATTTTCATAATGTATCAAACTTTAAAATTTAATCTTGTCATTATTGTTCAGTTGCTCAGTTGTGTCCCACTCTTTGTGACTCCATGTACTGTAACACACCAGGTTCCCTGTTCTTCATTATCTCCTGGAGTTTGCTCAAACTCATGTCCATTGAGTGAATGATGCCATCCAACCATCCCATCCTGTCACCCACTTCTCCTCCTGCCCTCAATCTTTCCCAGCAACAGGGTCTTTTCCAGTGAGTTGGCTCTTCACATCAGGCGGCCTAAGTATTGGAGCTTCAGCTTCAGCATCAGTCCTTCCAATGAATATTCAGGGTTGATTTCCTTTAGGAGTAACTGGTTTGATCTCCTTGCAGTCCAAGGGACTCTCAAATTTTTTGAGCACCAGAGTTTGAAAGCATTAATTCTTTGGTGCTCAATCTTCTTCATGGTCCAACTCTATCTGGACATGACTACTGGAAAAACCATAGCTCTGACTAAATGGACCCCCAGTTAGAAGTGAAGAATGGTGATCCTTGAGAAATGGATCTAAGTGGAGAGCTCCCCATTAAGTGTCTCATCCCCAATCTTCATTTCTCTAACTTGCAGGTAACAAAGACCTTTCAGAATCAATGCCTGGTGCATTTTTCACTCTATGGTTCAAAACATTATATCCAGAATTTGTGGTAGGATATGTGGTTTTTCTCTAGTTTTAATGAATGAAAATATTTCTTAAATTTTTTGTTCCTTGTTGATATATTGCAAGCAGGGAATTCAGTAAATATGTACTCACTATAATAGTTACCTGCTATCTTTTTATGTTAAACATGTAGTGTCTATTTCCATTTAAAGAATAACATCCCTACTCTCAGCTCAGTTATCGAGCTTAATCCACCTCCAGACCTGGGTTTCCAGAGGATCTAACCTAATCCAGTGAATATACTTTACTCTTCTGATCACCAGAGATTCGTTCAGAGATTGAGATGAGCTTGAAATTGCTGGGATTCACCACATGGAGTCTTAACCCAGGAGAAACAGCTAAGAAATGGATCCTGCTAATATAATTTACACTACAAGTCAAGCCAGGTCCATAAAAACCAGAGCTGGGTTTTGATATGGCTTTCTGTATTCATTTAAATGTAGGTATATTACAAAATAAGGCCAAATTGAAGGTTTGCCTAGGAAAACTGGATAGTCTGCTCACTGAACTCCCTGTTAAAATACTCCTTTAGCCAAGCCCGTGCTAAAACAGGATAAGATGATTATGTGTACCACACACTCCAATCTCCAGGGCAGTTTATCAGCCTTTCATCTCTGCAGAGATAGTATCAATCAGTGGTGCCTAAAAGCTGGTCTGCACACTGGGGATGTCTGAGTAATAACATTCTCACTAGTCCACAGCATTCTTAGATAAATTCCACTGCTATGAGATGGTGAGCAGAACCCTGAGCCAAGTCCTAGACATGAGGCAACTGAGGGATAGTGCTCTGAAGCTCCCTCCAGCTTTGACGAGACAACTGGCTTAACGCCCCCCACCAGACAGCAAGGGGAAGTCAAAAGTAGCTAGAAGCAGGGAGGCCACTGCTCCATCGCTTTTAGGTGTGCCCAAGATATCCCGAGACAGCAGCATGTGGCTTCCACTAAAGCCAGCAGACCTAAACACAACCAAATTTTTAAGGAAAGATTCGTGACAAAAATGAAATCCTAGAAGAAAACTGATTTGAGTTCTAGACTGTATTGAATAGACTCCAAAGATGTCAAATATATGTCTAGACCACAACTAACCAGTATAAATATTACAAAATGGAAATTGCTTATAAATTTTCTACACTTGGATTTTCAAAATTAGATCCTTTTCTAGATATTTTAGAACACTGCCAACTTTCTTCTGATTCAAAGATTTGTCCTTTAACTGTAGATCCCTCTTGGTTTAAGATAAAAACATTCCTTCCTTTAAGACATTCGGATGATAGCATTTACTCTGTGAAGTACATTTTAGAAACTGCAAACCACAGGTTGGATTCACTCCCTTCATTTTTTATTATTACTGATCCATGACTTCTAATAGCTTGACTTAAACCTTCTTTCCCAAGATTTTAATGAAAATAATTGACAAAAATCAGCACACAGAAATGTTACAAAAATAAAGATTATAGACAAACACCAAATAATGACAGTTTTTTAGAAAGAGAAACACAACAGGGATAACGGTTTTTACACACTATTTACACATTAATTATAAACCATGGCAGTAAAAGCTTTCCGAACGTTGGCAAGAAAAGCCGAAAAATTGTTGGTCTGCCTTACATTTTCTTGAAATTCTGCGAGGCACTCAAGATAAGGAGCACTATCTGACACTAGGAGGGAAAAAAAAGAAGACAATATTTTTAGAAGAGAAGTATTTCCACCTTAGATGCTCTCATATGATTCAAGTCATTTCAATTCCATTTTCCTGAAATGCTTTCAGCATAGAATGACACACAAACTTGATTTTCACACCCTGACTATCTTTTGGACCTTTCCTTTGTTTAATCTCTAAATATTCAAATATTAAATACTACAATCTTGTTTTAAACAGATGGTAATCAAGGACTGAAGAGCTCAGAGATACAGAAGAGAAGGCCATTTCCGATCATCTTTTACTTGATTTTCACACCCTGACTATCTTTTGGACCTTTCCTTTGTTTAATCTCTAAATATTCAAATATTAAATACTACAATCTTGTTTTAAACAGATGGTAATCAAGGACTGAAGAGCTCAGAGATACAGAAGAGAAGGCCATTTCCTATCATCTTTCCCACACATTTTAACTATTTAAACTATTTGAACAGTTTTTTTTTCTTAAACTGTTGTCAGTTTTCTGTGCAAAATTTGGCCTCAAATCTAGTTTCTGACCACTCAATCAAAAAAAGAACATCTTTCAATGCCAACCCTTAATAACTGACAACTATGGAAAGAAATATCTGCTGTTTCACAACTGAAATGGGGATCATTAGAGAATGTAGCTGCTATTCCCAGAGTCGTATTTACATGGCCAAATGGGACTCAAAGTCACAAATAACAATATGGCTCTCATATGCAGTTGCACCAGCTGGTACATACTAGGAGCAAGTCTCCTGTGAAGGTGGGCGAAGGAAAGGAATGATCCAACTTTCTCTACCATCGGTCTTGTCCTTTGTCCAAGGAGAAGAAATTGAAGCCTGTCAGATTTCTAGTTCTTTGGCAGAGACTGCTTGGGAAACAAGGCCCATGACCAAAGCAGAGAAAGAAGAGCAAAGAGCACCTGGTTCCAACTTTACACTGGAGACTCTATTTTAATACATGATCAAATACTATAACACTATATAACAAGAGAGGCTATCCAATTTAGAGAAAACTGAGAAGCTAGGTTGGAGGTTTGGGGATTTACTTTTTAAAAGTTAGCAGCCTTCAGATTAGAAGATATTTACCTAGAGACAGAAAAAAAAAACAAACATTTGTACTTGAACCACATTCCTAAAATATAAATTCGAGTCACTAAGTCACATCAGGGAGCCTACTCAGCCGTTTTCCTGAGCACCCATCTGCTATTAATACAAATGCTTTGAGGACACAGGTATAAAGAGCTAAGAACCATTTTTCTGAATTCCAGTAAGTTAAGGATTACTTTAGAATCCTTAACATTAGAATAATAAAAAGAGATAAATAGATTTCCATTCTTTTTGTTCACAATATTGCCAAACATGTAACTTCCCACACATTAAAGACCTTTTTGGCCCTTTGCAGAATCAGTAACGAAGCAAGATTATCAACATTTGGGATTTTCAGGATAGGATAATATTTTAAAATTTATTTTTTGGAAATTAAATCATCACATTTAAACTGAAAATCATCTACTTAGATCACATACAATATTCATACTTAGGCAGTCATATCCTTTATAGCTTTAGCTTTGAGTTCTCTAAGAGGATAATTCAGACTTGCAAATGAAATGCAGTGATCGTTGGTCTTTTAAGTCTTTCAGTCATTGTGGCGCTGTGCCATCCAGAAGAGAAGCTACTCATTAAGGTTCCTGGATACTATCTATAAATCAAAACTGTAGTCACCGCCTTTAGAAGACAACATCACAAGAAGCAAGACTGGAAAAGAAAGCAGCAGCTTGTGGGAATGTTACTTGCCTTCACGTTACCTTATGTTCTAAGTCAAATAACATTCTGGGATGCCAATCTTAAGTACCAGTTAAGAGATAGGAGTACATACCTTCATAGTCCCTTGCTTCATTTAGGCACAGGGAAAACATAAATGGACGATCAGGATGCTTAGGGTCAATATCAGTGAATATAAACTGCAATTTATCACCTGAGAAAAGGGGTTAAATGATTTAGTATGAGAATTATTTTATTGTGCCAAAGTTCTCAATTGAGACAAGCTTTCTTCCCTCCACCTCTGATTAATATCTACACTGCTATAAAACAGTATTTTGATTTTGAGGACTATGAGAAACTTCTACTTTAAATCTAAAGATAATTTTAAAGCTTTAAAAGTGGTTTTGAGACAAAACTAAACAAAACGCAAAAAAGTACCTCAGGATAACAGTGAAGATAAACTTAAAGACCAATGGATCAAAAGTTCGGAGCTACGCTTGCTTTGGTAGCACATACACTAAAACTGGAATGTTACAGAGAAGATTAGCATCACCCCTGTGAAAGGATATCATGCAAATTCATGAAGCGTTCCCAACACAATGTTGTAAAGCAGCTGTCCCCCAATCAAAACTAAATAAAATTTTTTAAAAACTTCAGATCTGGTCTTTATGTTCTCCTCTAAGCAAAGGTTAATATTTTGTATTAAAAACTCATTCTGACAGATAGGAAAAACACCAAAACAAAGGCAAACAGATTTATGAATAGAGGGTCCAATTTCAGAAATAAGTATAATCAGTAAATAAATGGGGGAAATGGTCACATTTTCATTAATAATCAAAGAAATGTATTTTTAAAAAGTTTCTATTATCTAATCAACTGCCAGATAACAAAATAAACCAAAAAACTTTAAAAAGAAACTACAGTTCTGGCACAAATAACAATGAAGTGGGTACACTTTATACACAGATTGCATAAAAGAGCTGACCTAGCAGACCTGAGACTTCTCTCCCCAGTAAAGGTCTGCTTGCAAGACTGGTCCTTGTCCAGTGTATCAGAGATCCCCAAGACCGCCACAGGTTTGAAAATTCACCAGGAGGACTCCTGGGGCTCACCACTGGTTGTACTCAGTGCTATGATTACAGTGAAAGGATACACAAAATCAGCAATGCAAATAATTCCTGGGGTGAAGTCCAAGGAAAACCAGGCCAACCTTCCAGAGTCTCTAATGAGGTTCCCTGATAGACAACATTTCACGTGTACTGTCACAGTTTGACGCCGAAGGGATTAATCACATCCTGTGTGACTCCACTGGCTTACGGCTCTTGAAAACTTGTTTCCTCTCGATTTTGCCCCACGTGACTTTTTCCTTTGGGCTGATTTTGTTTTGTATCCTTTCACCGCCATAAATCTGAGCCACCATGAGTCTTGTAAATCTTTCTAGTGAATCACCAAAACTGAATGTAATCCTGGGGACTCCCAACACCATAAATATTTCTATAAATTGACACACAGATATGTAACGGTGGCTATTTTAATATTCCTATGCTTTAACTCGGTAATTCATCTCTGGGAATTTCATGAAAACTGTGCTCCCCAAATGGAGAAGTCTATGTATGTCCACTATAGTATTTCTAAAACTAGAAACTATAAAATCCAAGTGTTAGAGTAATATATGGGTTAAACAATAGATAAAAGATTGAATAAATTAAGCTACAGTTATGGAATGAATTATTACACCACTATGTTAAAATTACCATCATGTGCATGAGACAAGTGCTCGGGCCTGGTGCACTGGGAAGACCCAGAGGGATGGGGTGGAGAGGGAGGTGGAAGGGGGGACCGGGATGGGGAATACATGTAAATCCATGGCTAATTCATTTCAATGTATGACAAAAACCACTGCAATGTTGTAAAGTAATTAGCCTCCAACTAATAAAAATAAATGGAAAAAAAAAATTACCATCATGAAGGCTACAGCAATTAGAAAAATACTAATCCTACAATACTAGTAAGAACAAGGAACAGAAAATTTTTTTGTATGCTGGCAACTGTGCCTAAAATATGTTTACTAAAATACTGGGTGATAAATAACCAAGGCATGAGTAATTACATTAGGGTGATTAAAGTTTTGTAATTTTTTCCTACTGTTTAAAACGTTAACAATGTGGTCATTATCTTAGCTGAAAATATTTTAAAGATTCTTTTCTACTTAAGACAGACTTCTCAAATTTCCTATGTTTTACTTACATTAATATACTAACCATAAATTTTTCGAATTTCTAGTCCAAGTCGATCTTTATACAAGTCTGCAGATTTCTGTAGCCTTTTCAACCTCTCTTCATTAGCTTTGTTAGCAGTGGAAATAGCTATGATTAAAAACACAGATAATGAGTATAGAATATTTTAAATAACATTCAGTTAATATTCTTTTAACTAATTTAAAAAAATTTAAAAACAACCAAAAAATGATGCCAAGCAAATAAATCAGCTTACATTTACTACACTTTCTATCTCTACCAATTAGCAAAGGGGTTTCTGTTCATTCAAGCTGGAAGGAAAAACTGCATGAAAAAATACATACCAGTATTAAGAGGAATAAGTTTTGTTCTATTTTATTATAAAGCAGCATGAATAAATAGGCCAAGGACTTCCAAGGCTAGCAGAGAAACAGAAAGATGTCCTGTACACTATTTTGCTGTTTTTTAGTCAGCCAAAAATGTATCAGTTGCTTCACTGGAAAAATATCCTATTATTTTAAATAGGAAGTCAGACTTATTTCATGCTAGTTTAGAACTTTTTTCAAAAGTTAATGCAATATTCCCTAAGTAATACTTAAGAGATGAAAAAAATAATGTTGATTCATACACAAACTCTTTAAGAAAAAGCATTCATGAAACAAACTTTGCTATTTTCAAGAGATTTTAGAATTGATTATTTCATTTATGGGCAAACACGGCTTCTATATAAAAGAAGCACCTTTTAAAAAAAATATATAAAAGTCTTAGACAAAGAGGCTTTACATCATGAAGAACATGCTTAATAGTTCCTGACAGAGGATGCGTGATCAATGAATCTATTGCATAAATTACACAATGGTTTCTCCCAGGCAAATCTTATTTAGTGAAACTGTCTCCCACTCTGCTTAATTAAACTCCCATATCAATTTCATTATTCTCTGGTTCTATTAGAAATCAAAAGGATCAGTCTTCACTAATGCATGTATATGGAATCTGGAAAGACGGTACTGATGAAATTATTTGCAGGGCAGCAATGGAGACAGACATAGAGAACAGATTTATGGACATGAGAGGGGTTAGGAAGGACAGGGTGGGATTTATGGAGACAGCACCATGGAAACATACATTACCATATGTAAAATAGACAGCCAACAGGAATTGCCTTATGATTCAGGGAACTCAAACTGGGGCTTTGTAACAACCTAGAGGGGTGGGATTGGGGGAGGTGGGAGGGAGGCTCAAGAGAGAGGGATGCTGTATACCTATGGCTGGTTCATGTTGATGTTTGGCAGAAACCAACACAATACTGTAAAGCAACTATCCTTTAATTAAAACTAAATAAATTTTTAAAAAGACAGAAAAAAAAAAGGCTCTTTAAGCAAAAGAAGGAAAATTAAAATCCACTTAGCAAACTTCACAGACACCTTGCAGAGGAAGGTGAGGGACTGGCTATGGACTTAAGGTATGTTAGCTACTTCTGGCAATGAACTGGGGAGAAGGCAAAATGTACATAATTGTGAGCCATCACTACTTTGAAATTTAGATTGTGTTAAATACCTGTACAACTGGAAACTTACTTTCCTTCTTCCTAGCATATTCTTCCTTAAGATCCTGGATAGTTGCAGTCAGTGCCTCTACTTCCTGTTTTTTGTCTTTTACTTCAGCAATCAACTTTAATAAATTCTCCTTTTTCTCTTGAATGAGCTTATTCTGTCTGCAGATTTCTATAAGAAGCACAAAGTATTAGCTAGAATCTATATGCTTTGCTCATCAACATGTATCTATAAAAAGAGCAAAATTTTTGTGACTTTCACAAAATTAATGTTTTAATTGATAAGCATTTCCTGATGATTAAAAAAACTGTAAGAGAACAAGAATCCTTATCCTTTCCTATTTGTCTTTGAAAACAAAAATGAGGAGACAAAAAATGCATTTTTAAATGAGAATGCTAAATTAAACCAAGAAATACAAAATCAGAAGATCGTGACCTTTGCAGCTCTCCCCTTCAGGTAAGTACACAAAGAGAACACCACCAAAGATGAAGAAACTCTAAAGATGGCTTTTCAGATGCTTTGAAGAAATACCCAAGTTTAATGCTAGATATCTGGTATATTCTGAAATACACCAAAATGATAGAAGAAAGAAGACAGGAAGGTAAGGAGGCAGTGAAGAAGGAGGAATACACAGAAGAACTATATTAAAAAGATCTTCATGACCCAGATAATCACGATGGTGTGATCACTCACCTAGAGCCAGACACCCTGGAATGTGAAGTCAAGTGAGCCTTAGGAAACCTAACTATGAACAAAGCTAGTGGAGGTGACAGAATTCCGGTTGAGCTATTTCAAATCCTAAAAGATGATGCTGTTAAAACGCTGCACTCAATATGCCAGCAAATTTGGAAAACTCGGCAGTGGTCACAGGACTGGAAAAGGTCTGTTTTCATTCCAATACCAAAGAAAGGCAATGCCAAAGAATGTTCAAACTACCACTTAATTGCACTCATCTCACACACTAGCAAAGTAATGCTCAAAATTCTCCCAGCCAGGCTTCAACAGTACCTGAACCGTGAAATTCCAGAAGGTCAAGTTGGATTTAGAAAAGGCAGAGAAACCAGAGATCAANCTGACTGAACCGAAGAAGGGGGAAATCACATATACAAATAAGACATTCAGGAATAATCTAGATCAAGACATATGCAGGCTTTGTACAGAAAAAAAATGCAAAACTTGTCTCAGGCATACATTTGACCCAGTTATATGGAGAGACATTTTAAGCTTCTAAATATTATAAAGATGTAAATATTTCCCAAACCTACTTCTGTATTTAATAAAGCCCCGGCGGAATTTGGAGGGAAGAGAAAGGGAATATCCAACAAAAGTAATTACACAGGTGAGAACAGCTAGGAAATATGGTGAGAAAAATAATAAGAAAAGGGACTTGCCCTATCAGATTTAACAACTGTGACTATGACAGTATTAACACAATAGTGGTGCAGTAATTGACTATAACTCAGTTAAACAAAGAAAAGTTTGCAAACAAATATGGGTATATTTAGGAAATTAATATGATAAATATCACAAATGAAGAGGTAGCCTGTTCCCCAAACAGTGCTGAAATCCAAAATAAAATCCACATTTATTAAATATTTAAATGTAAAATGAAACTTTATGAAACCTAAAAGGCAGTATCTGTGAATATAAAATTAACTATATGGGGAAAGATCTTTTTATTGAAGGCAAAAGGAAATTGAAGAGAAGGCAGGCAAGCAGACAAACTTATATTTGAATCAAATAAGCATAAAAACTCTACTATAAGCTAGATACTTGCTCTTATGTTTATATAAATTTAGTCAAGTTTCACAATAAGACAATTATGATGGACATCTTACTCTTTTTTAAAAGAAAAAGAGCTAATATATATAAAACAGATAATCAACAAGGACCTACTGTATAGCACAGGGAACTCTACTCAATATTTTGTAATAACTTGTAAGGGAAAAAAATCTGAAAATCAATAAATGTGTATATATAACTGAATCACTTTGCTGTATACCTGAAACTAACACCCTGTAAACTAACTGTAACTTCAATTAAAACAAAGAAGAAGAAAATGAAGTCTCAGCAGTTCAATAACTTGCTCACAGCTTTACCTGCTAGAATGCAATTAACAGTAAGACCTGGATTCAAACTTAGGTCTTAACTTCAAAGGTCAAGCTTTTAACCATTAAACTATTTTCTCCCAACAAAGGTTACTATTCTTAATCTAAAGAAGACACAAATATAAATTCGAAAGGGAAGGACAAAGTAATAAATAGAGGAAACACAAAATGAAGATGGTTAACAAATACAAAAGATAATTTAAACTCAGTAATCACAGAAATGCAAATAAAGCAATAACATACCAATTACACACTTTTCTGTATTTTCTAAGACTTTGTGGACATGATCGGATTATATAAGACATACTTTAAAAATAAACATCAGAATTACAAGAAAAAAATGCTACTTTTTAAGGATAATTAAGTAGAATTTTACTGCAAAAGAGATGCAGATTCAAAAGTCAAAAGTTCTCAGTTCCCATCTGGCTTCTCAGTTGTTACCCAAGGACCCTGATCCAATGACAACCATGGGTCCTCTTTTCCTCAGTTGTAAAACAAGTATTTTGGCCATCTGATGCAAAGCGCCGACTCATTAGAAAAGACTCATTAGAAAAGACCTTGGGAAAGACTGAATGCAGGAGGAGAAGAGGATGACAGAGGATGAGGTGGTTGGATGGCATCACCGGCTCAATGGACAGGAGTTTGAGCAAGCTCTGCAAGATGGGGAAGGACAGGGCAACCTGGTATACTGCAGTTCATGGGGCTGCAGAGTCAGACTCGACTGAGCAACTGACCAACAAAAAACAAGTATAATAATGGCTGTCCCATTTATTTACCCCACAGGATTAGGGTATCTAATGATGGTGTGAAAAATTTTAAGCTAGTAAGTAGTACATAAATACCATGTATAGGAGTGTTTTTATTCTAACATTTGAAGGATTGTATGGTTTTCCTTCCTGCTGCTGGTTACAGAGGGAATGAGAAGCAGTAAAAGAGCACGGAAGCCTCAGGGCAGCTAAGAAAGTGGACATGGGTAGAAGTCTCCTATAACAGCCTCCCAGGAGTTCCAAAATCACATGCCTTCAGGGGCCAGATGATAAGGAGGTGGTGAAGGCAAAGCAAAGCAAAAGAAACTATCAGGGACTGTAGCACATTAAGTACATGTGTCCCATGTAAAGACACTCTGATCTGACAGTGTTCAAAACATGATTTGGCAAAATTTAGTATCTCCAGTGGATTTTGGCCTGGGGCTATAAGCCTGTGGTCTGTGTGTGAGAATTCAGTAAAAGCTGCTAATCCACTCTGGACAATCTGCACAGTGGTAGAAAAGAAAGGCAGGAACAATAAAAATATAGACAGAAAAACTGTCAGACTTTAAACCTACACCCAAAGAGCTGAGAGAACTCCAGTTTTTCAAAGTTGTGAAACTCATTTTTCAAAAATGTGGGCATTTATACATCAGGGTGATAAACATGTTATGTACGGATTTTGTATTCTAGTCTGTGAAACTCATTTTTTAAAAAATATGGACATTTATACGTCAGTGAAGATGAATCTCACGAGCAAATGCTAAGTGAAAAAGGGACAGAATATATATTAACACAAAATGCTGCCACATATATAACATTCAAATCCTCAATACTAAAGTAAAATACTGACGGATTAGTTCTAGACGGTGAGAGAAGAGCAAAGTATAACACGGGATGTTCTAGTTATTAAGCTGGATTGTGTGCATGTGTGCTCAGTCCCACTCTTTGTGACCCCATGGACTTCAGCCTGCCAGGCTCCTCTGGAATTTTCCAGGCAAGAATACTGGAGTGGGTGGCCATTTCCTCCTCCATTACCTTGAAGTAACAACAAATAATAAGTGACATCTTTTTTCATAGATGTACATTCTTTAATAATTGCAACCATACCAAATATTTATCCTTTTCTTACATTGCATACCTTCATATGTACTAACCTTATTATTAAAATGTAAATATCATTTTAATGGCAATCAAAATATTACATTATATAGTTACAGTATATTGTATTTGACTGCATTCCCTGCTTTTGAATATTTAGATTTCCCCCCTTTGCTCTTTTTTACTTATAAATAGCACTGAGATAAATATCTCTGTGTATATATCTACACATTTAGATTATTTTCTACAAATTTAGATTATTTTCTCGCTGATTTGAAATTACTGGATAAAAGAATTAAATTACGTAAATGCAAGCTTCCTCATGTATATTAGAAAATTGTTTTTTGAGTTAGTCTTTCAAATATTTAAACACATTACATATTACTTCTGGAGTGTTTTTTAACATAGACTTAATATCCTCAATATTTGGAAACTGTATGTATTTTATAGGCATTTATTAAATGCAGACTTCAAATAGTTCTGCTGCTTGTGTTTCAAATGACAGCATTAAAAGAAGTAGTACATGACAAAGTTTTCTGCATAAAAACAATAGACATTATTACATTTTTTGCAAAACAAATGTATTACTCATTTTTAACAAAAGGTAAAATTAGTAAGTCCCAATCTTGTTAAGTTAAGCACACATCTTGACTTTGATATTTGAGAAGACTGTCAGACAAAAATCAGTCCAACTCCCTTGGAAAGATGTTGGGGAATAACAAAAAAGTCTTTAAGAAGGAGGTGACAGAAGCACACAGTGGCCTCCCGTGGGGCAGCCTGACTGGTTGATCAAGAGTGATAGATGTGATCTACTGAGAGTTNCCCAGGTCAACTCCCACCTTCTCCGGCAGGCCTGAGCCCAGCCACCTGCCCCACAAGACCTGAATCGACTTCAACCAACAGTCGAACTCCAAGATCCGCAACCGCAGCCTAGCCAACTTTCCTATTTCAAACCTAGGGCGCCTTCCGCCTCCCGCCTTTGGGCTCCCATACGCCTTCTTATTGGCTTATAGTGTAGGCTCTTTTATGAAGGGATTGGTTGATCTAGCCCTCTGGGATTCTCGCGAGAAAGATAGAGGAAATGGCATTCTGGGACTGGTAGTTCTTTTTTTGAAAAGAGCCGACCTCGCCAGCTCTACTTCAGGGATGTTTTAACAGTTCCTGGAAAACTCGCCTGACTGGCCATTCATCCTTTTCAGATAAAGGTTTCCGCAAAAAAAATATAAATATTG